AAAGATGGATGGTACGAAGCCCCCTCTCTAAGGGGCGACGAGAAAAACTGTTACAGATGCAAAAAAAAACAGGTAAGAAGAAAACAACACTGAATGGATGTCGCGTAGAGGCCGTGACCACAGACAACCTTCACCCCATTTCTCTCACATCATGTACGGGTAAACTGATGGAGACGATGGTGTGGGATTGTTTGCCTGGTTTCATAGAAAATCAACAAATTTTCGCAGATTTGATTCTCGGGTTTTGCCCGTACAGATTGGCGCAAGACATTCTGCTTCAACTCAATCGGGATATCCTACAACCTGTCGAATGCCCTCACAACGACCAGGTTGTACTCGCCTTGGACTTGAAGGCGGCGTTTGACAATGTAATCCATGAGGTATTTAACACACCTTTCACAAAGCGGCTGTGGCTTGAGAGCATTCGAATACATTTGGTAGTTTTAGCCAACAGACAATCCTACATTCATATACAGAACAAGGAACACGGGCCTTTCCCTTTAGAAACTAAAGGTACACCACAAGGTACAGTGCTGACTCCTTTATCAATCAATTGGACCATACCCGCTGGCACAGTTCGCTGATGTTTCCGGTATATGATATGCGTTGTATGCTGATGACGTCACCATATGGGCCACGCAGGGTGCATTCGGAGATATTAAGGTGAACCTACAGCAAGCTGCGAGTGTGGCCTTCAGTGCTCGCCATACAAATCGGCTTTCGTGCGCCTACTCTCCGCACCCAAGTAGACGGCCCAAATTGAACTCTCACTGGTTAAGGTGAGAGTTCAAAATTGAACTCTCACCTGAACAAAAAGAAGTCCGTGTGCTGGGGATTTTCATTATTCAAAACAGATGATCAAACATGACATTGGCCAAACTCCAGAAAGTCGGCGATCAGGTGAGCCGCATGGTCCGCCGAGTCTAATAAACGCGGGGGGCTACGGTGCAGATATAGCTTGCGGCTGGCACATGCATTTGTAACCAGCAAAATCTTATATTCTACCCCATACCTTCACCTGCGGAAGCAAGACGAGGATGTACTTGAAGTATTCCTTCGCAAAATTGTAAAGCGAGTATTCGACTTCCCCGTGAACACCTCTAACCAGCACCTTCTAGGCCTGGGCAAAACGAATACGTTTCGGGAGCTTCGAGAGGCCCACCTCACAAATCAGTACACTAGATTTTCACAGATAGTAGCGGGGTGCCACCTATCAGCCAACCTACACATTCAACACATTCACATCGCGGAAGATCGCGTTCAACTTCCATTCTAGTGAAGATGCACCCTCCAAATGTGTCCTCTTCCAAACAATTTAACAAAAGAAGACCACAATGGCCGGCGCTTGGCGCGGGCGCAAGCCCTGGCTAGCTATTACGGATCAAAACCCGGCGTGTTATACGTAACGCCTCCTGCCCACACTATGGGGGCATGTACACGGCCGCATTCGTGCACGAGAACCAAACAGTTACTGAGCTCACGTTTCGAGCACGGGTCATAATCCACGCGGAGGAAGTCGCCATTGCATCGGCCGCTTGTCACCCCAGATCGCAAGCCATCATCTCCGGCTCTCGAGGGGCCTGCGAAACATCGTGAACGACTGTGTCGCGAACCTGGCCTACCACTTATTGCAATTTTTGGAATGTCAGGGAATCCCTGTGCCTCACCGTATAGTCTCGGTGCCTGCTCATATGGGACTCGAAAGGAATGAGGCAGCCGACGCCGCCACCCACGTGCTCTGTCATCCGGCATTTCCACTCGCCTCCCCCGATCAGGACGACCTTGCATTCAATCGGGTGTATCATTTCCGCGAAATTGTGGGCTATTACCAATTCTACGACAGCCTTTATCCAGGCCCATGCAAGGGCCTAAGTAAAGCAGAGGAGCGGCTTTTACTCCGATTCTTTACGAGCACTATGCTGTGCCCGGGAGCCTTCAAACATTTTGATTCCGCCTTTTTAGTCAGCTGCTCACACTGTGGGAAGAAGTCTTCGGACATCTAGCACATTGTGGTGGGCCTGCCCGTGCAATCCTGCTGTACCGCCTATCCCAAACCTTACCCAGGAGGAGTGGGAGAAACCGTGCTTGGCTGCTCTAACCTTCAGGCCAAAAAGACCTTGGTTCGACGAGCCCAGGCAGCATTCGACGCCAATGGGGTCCAGGACTAGTAATCCCCACTTACTCGTTGTTGGTGCCGTCTTCTCACGAGCCGGTCGCTGCACACCTTCCTTATTTTTCTTGTTGAATAAGTGTTCTACCGCCACCACCACCGCGAGATTTCCCAGGCGTGTGCACCCATCGGCTGCAGGTTTCTTCTGTCCGGCAGATGGAGAGGTGGCGCGAGTGAAATGGTGATTACGTGAGGAGTGAGCTCGAGCGTTGCTAGTGGTAGAGAGGGGGAAGCGAGAGAGAGCTGACATGCGGCGAGTGCGCGGCAGTCGAGAGAGAGAGAAGTCACCGCGCACTGATAGGAGGGCGTGAGCTACTTGGCTCCACTCCAGCACCTGCGGCTTAGGGAGTGGTGCGGGTGGAAGGACAGCATTACAAAAACTAGTCAAACAGCTCCTTCGTATCCAAAAATGCGAGGCTGGTCAGGGGAACATGGGGCACTCCTTAACTCCGGCAGCTTCAATTACACCGCACTTGCGAACACTAGTGAACATGAACGGAGAGATTGTGCTCTGCCTCCATGAGGTATGCTACCTATGCTGACAACACCTTGTAACATGCGCGATAATGATCCGCTTTAAAGAATTAACGCTGGAGTTAAGGAGACGGTGTCGAAGAAAGTGTTGTGTGACAGTCGCCTGTGTCGGTTGGGAGCAAACAGTTGGTGTTGTCTGTAAGCGAAAAAATCCTAACGGATGGACAGTTAAGTCTGGGTATGAGCTCGAATCAGATCGAGGCCTCCTGCATGGTACGCAGCTGCTCTAACATAGAGTAAACCAAGCGCTTAAATGGGCTTCGAAAAAAGGCCCTGTAGCGCTGTCATGCATTGTGAGGAGTCTCCTTATAAGATGTCATATCGAGTGGAAGATGCATAGAATGAAACCACACGTCTCGCCACGTCCCGTCACATCTGCAGAGGCGAAGGTCGCTAGGTTGAGTCACTGTCATGGTAGCCGCATTACGATTGAGGCGGAATACTTAAGGTTAGTATACTTAAAACCAGGTGCGTTAAAGAGAAACATATGGTCAGACTTTTACTGAACCTTCCATAATGGCATTCCACACAATTATATCGGCATTTTGGTAAAAAAAAGAGACCCCAACAGATAATAAGCTTCGAACGTTGTTGATGGATAGCGAGCTTATCTGAAAATTATAAAAACCCTACGCGGTACTGGGACGGACGAAACGCAGAGAAAGACGCGCCTGTCTTTTCACATGAACCGGGCTTCTATAGAAATCAACATTAATAGCGAACACCCACGTATCTATCTATACTTCACATACCAGTGTTAAAATGGCGGAGACAGATATAAAGGACTACGCGTAATAACTGTCGTCCAGTTCCCCGTCCTTCTGTGTCTGTCATTCACGCGCTGTTTTGAAGGGGCCTTGAAACACTGTTTTAGGTAACCATGGAATGAATTCACTAAAAGCGTGCATTGCCTTACAAACTATACGTGTGAAAATTTTTAAGAATCTCTCGAGTACGAGCGGGGTTACAAAGAATTGTCACACGCTGCAACCGTGTTTTCTCTTCTCTTGTCATGGCGAAAGCGCTGGACGCTAAGCAGGGAGAGATGGCAGGGGAAATAATATGCGTCTTGCACGTCTCGCGATCTTGAGCACTTTTCTTTCTTCAAATACGCCCCTTTTTTCGTGTGATCACGCCTGCACGCCTGGACAAGTTGCGGCCTCCGCAGCGATCCCTGTAGAGATCGAGCGCGCCATGTTCAAATCAGTCAACGGCTCATAGATGGCCGTGTACGCGTTATTGTTGAGCGTATTTCGCGTTTCTCTAAAGAAGGGAAAGCAGTTTTTAGCTGACTTTGATCATTTATTGTGAATTCCCGGCCGCGTGCAGCGCGATATTATTTGGCTCGCGTGTTCTCGGAAGCCTCTACTACGAATCGGCAGCGTTTTCTGACCATGCTCAAAATGTGTTGCAGGGCCCCTTTAAGTATGCGTTTTTTGAAACTTACCAACTTTATTAACTTACTATAATGTGAATCTAGGTAACACCGCTAAAGATGGCCAGGGATGATGTCATGTGCTTGATGAAATACTTACTGTTCGCCAATGCCGCCGCAGCAAGCGTGCTGGAGAGCAAAAGAAAAGATGTGGGACTTGTATCACTGTGACATGCTATTCGGCCTGGGAAACTTGAGGGAAAACAAAGGAGCCTGGCTCACGCTTCGAGACGATGACCAAAGGCGAAACACACACACATTGAATTTCACACACACTGAATTTCACATTGAAGCTCGTGTACAGGAGGCGTCGCAGAAGTCTTCAATAAAGTTGTGTGTGTTTCCCATCAAGCAAATATTTGCATTAGCTCTATTTCCGCAAAGGGCGCGCCGTCACACAATGCCATGGCCTCTTATAAGAGCAACATCAGCAGGAAACGGCGAAATGTTATTCTAGTCATGAATGACCACATTCTCCTAGAAGGATGGTAAAGAGAAGTTCTCCACTATATCCAAAAATGAACCATCATGAACGATTATTTCGTGTAAACAGCACCAGGACAGCACGTTGCAAGTTTCTGTGACTTATCAAAATCTATGATGGGGCCGTGGATGACGCCTCACTAAGTCCTAGTGGTCGGTGGCGTTACATGTGTTTTAAATTCTACGCGTTATACAAATTCAGGAGTAGCTTTTTTCTACCAACTGCTTTTTTTGATGTTGTGGCCACCAATCAGAGTTGGTCGTTTCATTGTATAACAGCAACCATCTTGCAGTATTGTGTTCCTTACCGCTAAAGAATTAGCGAAATAGCTTCCTATTGTCGGTCGCCAGTTATAAATATTTCGTTTTCTCTCACAGTACGTCGAAGTGTCTGCGAAAGCTGAAGCAAGGGATAGGTTCCACGCCAAGGTGATCATGCTGCTGGTCATGCCAGCGATCGCCACCTTCCTGGTCCTGCTGGCGGCTCTTATCTACGTGGTCACCCGAGAAAAGCCCCGACTGCTCGTGGACACCTGCAGGAACGACGCCTGTGCCGCCTTTGGTGAAGAGCTCCACGCTGCCATCAACTGGTCAGTCAACCCGTGCGAAGACTTTCACGCCTTCGTGTGCGGCGGTTGGGATGATCCTCAGCGTCAAACGGCGACCGCAGCACGAATGGTAGCCGCCGCCTTGGATCAGGCGATCGAGGAAGTTAAAGCAGACCTCGCAAGGCAAGGCAGCTCGCCACAGCACAGCAGCAAGGCCGCGCAGTTTTTCGAGAGCTGCGTCATCGCTGACACGCAGAAGCATCAGAACCTGGAAGAGTTCGCAGATTTTAGGCAATCCCTTGGTCTCGTATGGCCCGAGCGCAATCCAAGCGACGACACCCACCCACTCGACATTATGGTTAACCTGGCGATTAACTGGGAAATGAACTTTTTCTTTGACCTCGGTGTCGTTGCCATGCGCCAGTCCACTTCCCTGCTTGTCTCCCGAGGTCGCATGGATGACGTTTGGGAGGAGAAGCTGCGCAGTGTGATGACGATCGAAGCGTACGAGAAATACATGAGCGATTACTACGGTGTTCTCAGCGTCAACAGTTCTCAAATTGATGTGACACCAGCCGAACTCCTCGATATAGAAAAAACCATCATCAACTCGAAGTATGAGTTCTTTTACGGCCCCTCTCATCAAGACTGGTTCCAAGTGAGTGGCTTAGATGAAAAAACACCATCGGTACCAGCGGGCTTGTGGCTCACTCTTCTAAGGAAGTACGACCAGCTGTACAACTGGACGGGCGATGACACTGTGATTGTCGAGGACGTCAAGATTCTGGAGAACGTCAACTACCTCCTGAAAGCTCTCGGCAACTACAAGCTACTCATCGGAATGTCGTGGATGTTCATCCAGACACACCTCTGGGCTGTTTATGGGTCACCTTCACTCCGATTTCGTGGCACGGAGCAACACGTGATTAAGATGAAAGAACGCGGCTGCATGGAATACGTTGGATCTCCTTTCGGGCTACTCGGCTGGGCCAAGAGACTGACGGACAGCTACCGCAACGACAAGGACGAAGAGCACGTCACCAGCTTGCTGTATCGAATAAATCAGCACACGAAGCACCTTGTTAACATGCTCAGCTGGATGGATTCTAAGAGCAAGGCGATGATAATCTCGAAGCTGGACAAGATGTCCCGCATCGTCTTGCCGAATGACAGCTTCTTCGACCAAAGAAAAAGGCAAGAAATGTACGGCGTGTTTCCCCATATGACCGGAAGCACCTTCATGACTAACCTGGTACATGCGTCCAAAGTTTACCAGAGTCTGCGCACCAACAAACGCTTCGCGGACGTGTACAGCATTCGCATGGTTCCGCGATACGGTCGCGAGCTTTATCTGTACTTACCGAACTTCATGGCGATCGCGTTAGTCAGCCTGAGCCCACCAATGTATTACAGTCGTGCAACGCTAGCAATGAGATACGGTGGCATAGGCTCCTTTGTAGCTCGAGAGATGGTCAAGACGTTTGATGAAATTGGTGTTACGGTGGATGATATGGGAAAGCGCGAACCTTGGCTTGGTGATGAGGCGGTCGCAGCGTACCAAAACAAAGCTAACTGCGATGTTCACGCAGGCGTCAACAGCGCCGCGTGGCGTCCAATACGTGCGTTGCCTGTCATTCCCGCACTGGAGATTGCTTTCGAGGCCTTCACGGCAGCCGTGGCGGTCGACTCTCGAGCCCTGGTAGACTTCAAGGTCCTTCATCTGGAAGCGTTCACTGACGTGCAGATCTTCTTTCTGGCTTACTGCTACTCACTGTGCTCTAAGAGGCCACACACCTTGCGTGAGGACTGCAACGTTCCCGCCATGAACTCGCCCATTTTTGCTGAAGTATTCCACTGCCCCGTGCATTCACCCATGAACCCGCCCAAGAAGTGCACGTTTTTTGACAAGTAAGCGCTCACAGCGCAGTCACTTTGTTAATATACCAGGAGCTTTATTGGGGCTCTATGCATATCGCACAGACTTTTAATGTCAACCACATATTTATTTATTTATTTAACATGTACCTAATGTGCTCTTTTTGGATCTTACGATAAAAGGGCATTTATAGAGAAAAAAAACAGTGAGTACAAATACAGCTGAACCAGTTGAATGCAACTTAACAATGCCACTGATAACTAAGACATTGATTACAAAGACGATGTCACCGATTAAATCCACATCAATGTAAACGGTTTTAAATGATGCTAGGTGTAGTGAGAGTGTAGTTGCTCTCGGAACACCTTGCTGGTCACTGAAACTATCACATCAGGAAGATAATTTCACAAGAAGATCATCATCATCATCATCATCAGCCTGACTACGTCCACTGCAGGACAAAGGCCTCTCCCATGTTCCGCCAGTTAACACGGTCCTGTGCTTGCTGCTGCCAATTTATACCCGCAAACTTCTTAATCTCATCTGCCCACCTAACCTTCTGTCTCCCCCTAACCCGCTTCCCTTCTCTGGGAATCCAGTCAGTTACCCTTAATGACCAGCGGTTATCCTGTCTACGCGCTACATGCCCTGCCCATGTCCATTTCTTCTTCTTGATTTCAGCTATGATATCCTCCACCCCCGTTTGTTCCCTAATCCACTCTGCTCTCTTCTTGTCTCTTAAGGTTACACCTACCATTTTTCTTTCCATTGCTCGCTGCGTCGTCCTCAATTTAAGCTGAACCCTCTTTGTAAGTCTCCAGGTTTCTGCTCCGTAGCTAAGTACCGGCAAGATACAGCTGTTATATACCTTCCTCTTGAGGGATAGTGGCAAACTACCTGTCATAATTTGAGAGTGCTTGCCAAATGTGCTCCACCCCATTCTTATTCTTCTAGTTACTTCAGTCTCGTGGTTCGGCTCTGCAGTTATTACCTGCCCTAAGTAGACATAGTCTTTTACAACTTCAAGTGCACTATTACCTATCTCGAAGCGCTGCTCCTTGCCGAGGTTGTTGTACATTACTTTCGTTTTCTGCAGATTAATTTTAAGACCCACCTTTCTGCTCTCCTTGTCTAGCTCCGTAATCATGAGTTGCAATTCGTCCCCCGAGTTACTCAGCAATGCAATGTCATCGGCGAAGCGCAGGTTACTAAGGTATTCTCCATTGACTCTTATCCCTAACTGTTCCCATTCTAGGCTTCTGAAAGCCTCCTGTAAGCACGCGGTAAATAGCATTGGGGAAATTGTGTCCCCCTGCCTTACACCCTTCTTGATTGGTATTCTGTTGCTTTCTTTATGAAGCACTATGGTAGCAGTTGATCCCCTGTAGATTTCTTCCAGAATGTTTATATATACTTCATCTACGCCCTGATTCCGCAGTGTTTGCATGACGGCTGATATTTCTACTGAATCAAACGCTTTCTCGTAATCTATGAAGGCTATGTATAGGGGTTGGTTATACTCTGAGCATTTCTCTATTACCTGATTGATAGTATGAATGTGGTCAATTGTTGAGTAGCCTGTTCGAAATCCTGCTTGTTCCTTTGGTTGATTGAATTCTAATGTTTTCTTTACTCTGTTAGCAATTACCTTTGTAAATAGCTTGTATACTACAGAGAGCAAGCTGATCGGCCTGTAATTCTTCAAGTCCTTGTCATCTCCTTTCTTATGTATTAAGATGATGTTAGCGTTCTTCCAAGACTCTGGTACTCTTCCCGTCAGGAGACACCTCGTAAACAGGGTGGCTAGTTTTTCTAACACAATCTGTCCTCCATCTTTCAGCAGATCTGATGTTACCTGATCCTCACCAGCAGCTTTGCCCCTTTGCATGCTCTCCAAAGCTTTCCTGACTTCTTCTATCATTACTGGTGGGGTGTAATCTGGGTTACTGCTAGTTCTTATAGTATTAAGGCCGTGGTTGTCACGGCTACTGTACAGATCTCTGTAAAACTCCTCTGCTATTTTAACTATCCTATCCATATTGGTAGTTATTTTGCCTTTTTTGTCCCTTAGTGCATACATCCGACTTTTGCCTATCCCAAGTTCCCTCTTCAATGCTTTGACACTTCCTCCGTTTTTCAGAGCGTGTTCAATTCTCTCCATGTTATACCTTCTTACATCGCATACCTTACGTCTATTAATCAACTTCGAAAGCTCTGCCAGTTCTATTTTGTCTGTTGTACTTGACACTTTCATGATTTGACGCTTCTTAATTAGGTTCTTCGTTTCCTGGGAAAGCTTGCCAGTGTCCTGTCTAACTACCCTGCCTCCAACTTCCACTGCACACTCCGTAATGATACTCGTTAGATTATCATTCATTGTATCTACGCTAAGGTTCGTTTCCTCACTAAGAGCCGAGTACCTGTTCTGCAGCGACACTCTGAATTCCTGTACTTTCCCTCTCAGTGCTAGCTGATTGATTGGCTTCTTGCGTATCAGTTTCTCTCGTTCCTTCTTCAAGTCTAGGCGAATTCGAGACCGTACTATTCTATGGTCACTGCATCGTACCTTGCCAATTACTTCCACATCCTGCACGATTCCAGGTTGTGCACTCATTATAAAGTCTATTTCGTTCTTATTTTCGCCATTAGCGCTCCTCCATGTCCACTTGCGGTTATCTCGTTTTCGGTAGAAGGTATTCAAAATCCGTAAATTATTGCGTTCTGCGAATTCTACTAGTAGCTCTCCTCTGGCGTTTCTAGTACCGATGCCATAATCTCCTACTGCCTGGTCTCCAGCCTGCTTCTTCCCTACCTTTGCATTAAAGTCGCCCATCACTATAGTATACTGTGTTTTTACCTTACTCATTGCCGATTCCACGTCTTCATAGAAGCTTTCAACTGAAGCGTCATTATGGCTGGATGTAGGCGCGTAAGCCTGTACTACCTTCATCTTGTATCTTTTATTCAGTTTAATTACGATACCTACCACCCTTTCATTAATGCTATAGTATTCCTCTATGTTGCCAGCTATGTTTCTGTGAATTAGGAACCCCACTCCCAGTTCTCTTCTGTCTGCCAAGCCCCTGTAGCAAAGGACGTGCCCATTCTGTAGCACCGTATAGGCCTCATCTGTCCTCCTAACCTCACTGAGCCCTATTATATCCCATTTAACACCCTCTAGCTCCTCGAATAGTACAGCTAGACTTCCCTCACTAGATCGCCCTCCGCGGTCTCCTGATGCCGTGTAGCTCTCGCATTGTGGCACCCCGCCCTTGGACTGCTTCGACCGGATCCCCACTTTCCTATCTCCTTCTTTTTCCTCTCGTTGGCTGTCTTCTTCTGCTTCTACTTTCCTTCTATTCTTTTTATCCCTCCTTCCCCCCACCCCTATAAGGCACTGCGCCGTGTCGCCTGAAGGCAGACAGAAATTAGGTGCCTTTTTCCTCTTCATTGTAACCACTACCACCACCCAATCCCCGGAGCCGGCCCCGACAACACGTTGTTCCCCGAACACGGAGGAGGAGGAGCTGGCGCCGCGAGTAGGCGCGCTGTCGACGGCCGGCTGCAGACGGGATAGAAAAGAATGCGGTGGTGCTTAGCAGCTTCCGCTACAAGAAAAAAACAGTGAGTACAAATACAGCTGAACCAGTTGAATGCAACTTAACAATGCCACTGATAACTAAGACATTGATTACAAAGACGATGTCACCAATTAAATCCACAACAATGTAAACGGTTTTAAATGATGCTAGGTGTAGTGAGAGTGTAGTTGCTCTCGGAACACCTTGCTGGTGACTGAAACTATCACATCAGGAAGATAATTTCACAAGAAGATAGCCTGTGGCAAATCGGATAGGTCAAATGTACGTGTTCTGCTAAAAAACGCTTAAAGCTGCGCTGACTTCCCGTGCGTGCTCATCTGCGATCCGGTGTGTGCAGAGGGAAGGGAGACAGACTTGTGAAACAAAGCAAGGAGGGCTATCTTACGGCGGATTTTTAATGGCTGTAACTTGATATCGTGTTGCATTTGAGAAATAGTGCTATGACGTTGGTAGTTGTGAGTGATGAAGTGGGCTGCTGTGTTTTGAATGACTTCGATCATCTGTGTTAGAGATGATGAAGGAACGAAACCGTTGAGGCATATTCAAGCAGTGCACGTACAAATGTTAAGTAAGCTAGTTCGTGGATACTCGATGTGGAGTAATGAAGATTTCAACGCATGTAACATAGTGTTTTGGATGCTATGGAAGAAATGAAAGTTATGTGGGCGAATCATGAAAGCTTAGAGTCAATAATAATTCCTAGAAATCTGTATGAGGTGGTTTGAGGTACTTCGCTATTGTTAATTTTGTGTGGAAAAGTTGAAATCAAGTTGTTTTCGATTGTGCATTTTGTAGTATTCAAACTCGTTAACCACTCAGTACAGCAACAGCTAACGAGGTGCATGTCATCTTGAAGGGCGTAATGATCAGTGGAAGATGTTATAGACGAATAATGACGCAGTTATCTGCGAAAAGACGTATGAAGGATGAAATGTTTGTTCGTTGATTTATAATGAAATTAAGGAGGAGTAGGGGGTCAAGCACGGTACCTTGGAGCACTCCTTAACTGACTTCTGTGAGATCCGATTGAAAACCATTTGCAAATATGAGCTGTGCACAAAATGAAAAAAACAATTCGGAGCCATAATAGCGTTATACAGACTAAGGACAGAGAGTTGGGAAATCGGACAATGATGGGCGACACAATCAAAAACCTTCGAAAAATCTAGAAAAACGCAATATGTCTGTTCGTGTCCAAATAAGTATGCAGGTCTGTTGTTAATTGGAAAATTTCTGTATCGCAAAAGAAACTTTTCATGGTGCCATGTTTTGGGGAGTTAAAAAATTGTTTCAATAAACATGATTGTATATGTGGGAAGCAATGATACGTTTAAAGAATTTACAACTGATTGAGGTTAACGAGGTGGGACGATGGCTGTTCACTTTATCTTTACACCCTGCTTTAAACACAGGAATAACTTCTACAATTTCCAA